TCAACTAAAGATTCAAGTGATAGACAATTAAAAATATTTGTTTACATTGGAGTAAACTTTTAAAATGCTTTTTCTCATGTTCTACTTTTTCATGTATCTATATGTAAATGTGAATGTGTGAGTGTATGTGTGTATGTGTGTATGTGTGTGTGTGTGTGTGTGTGTGTGTATATGAATTTTGGGGTTGTCTCTCCAGACTCCACGAACCACCTGTAGGTCTCAAAGGTCACACTGTGGTGATGCAAACCAACTGGACACACTTTCAACTCTCATTCAGGTCTTTCCCTGACGCTCCACCATCACGTCTCCAGATACCTCTCTTTCATGGCCCCGGTCTCACTCCCACTTACTTCTGTAGTGGGGGGAGGGGCAAGGAGGTGGCATTTCCCTTTGCTCTTAGCTCTGTGACCTGTGGCTGGGTGGGCTTTGGTGTCCAGTGTCCAGCAGTCCAGTGACCCTGTACAGTGTGTGCTCTTGGTTCTGGAAAACAACCTTATAGTCAAATTAAAAACAACAGAGATTGTGAATGAGATTGTTTTTCTCTCTGAAGTCTAAACAATTTTGAAGCGCTCTTGGCTTTCCCAAGCGCTATGTAAATAAAGATTACTTATTATCTTACTAATGATGACATTTGAAGACCAGAAACTCTCAATATAAAAAACAAGACTCAAATCTCTTAAACCTTCTTAAACTTTAAAATATGTATTATGTACTTTTGCACTGTGTGATTAATTATCTATGCATTTATCTCAGCATATATTTTACTAATTTAAAATAATTGCAGCATTTTTCAAATGAAGTCAGTATGAATTGGAGCACATTTTAGACCAGGCTCCTCTGCTGTGGCATCAGCAGGAGCAACAAGGTCAGGCGTGTAGTCAAAACAAAAACAAAAGTCACCACTTGCATGTGAATTGGGTAGTTTAACTTAATAATATAATACTTTTACAGCCTAATTCCCTCTTTCTTTTTTAGACGAAGTCTACAATCATTAATCACTTTTAACAGATTCTAATTTAAATGTTTGAAAAACGGCTTTTGTAACTAAAATAAAAAATACATGAAAAAATTCTCACAAACAGCTATGAAATATATCAGAGATACAATAATGGACTCACAAAATAAGCAGCAGATTTAAAAAGAAAAGCAAAGCTTTTTGTACTAATCTTTGGGTTTCAAAAACATACTAATTCAAAACTTATATTCACTAATGGTGTTTAAAACGTTTAACTGTGTCTAACACAATGTTCAAATGGCAAATTTAGCAAATTTAACGGAATAACTACTATGAAAAGCCAAATTCCTAAAGCAGTAGCTTTGCTTCAGATTCACAGCCAGAGCAGCGAAGGAGGGGGCCGTTTCCCTGACAACGGCAGCAGATAGAGCGACGCACACACACAGGCAAAAAGATACAGAAGAATAACTTTCAAGATTACTTTGTTAAGCGAATATAACTGATGTTGTTCTTTATACTTTTGTCATCCAAATCTAGAAGTGATCACTTTCCACACTAGTAACAAAAGGCACTCTTTAGTGTTTAACGTTTCCCTTTTTATAATTACTTTTAATTCACCATGGTTTCTCTCAAAGGGACTTTAACCCTGAAGCTTCTTCTCAAAGGGACTTTAACCCCAAGGCTTTTCTCAAAGGGACTTTAACCCCGAGACTTTCTCAAAGGGACTTTAACCCCGAGGCTCAAAGGGACTTTAACCCCCGAGACTTTCTCAAAGGGACTTTAACCCCCAGGCTCAAAGGGACTTTAACCCCGAGGCTCAAAGGGACTTTAACCCCGAGACTTTCTCAAAGGGACTTTAACCCCGAGGCTCAAAGGGACTTTAACCCCGAGACTTCTTCAAAATACAATTTAGAGAGTTTGACAGACCCCAAAAAACAGACCAAAATTTAGCTAATATCCAATTATGCAGACTTTACATATTAAAAAAGGTGTCTGCTTACCTTATTCTTGTCAAACCGGTTCCAAGGACTGTCCGAGAGGTCTGCCAACCTCTTTTCCGCGTCGGAATATTCAATTTAAAAAACAAAACAGAGAAAGTGAGGGAGCAAGAGCAAGCCCATCCAAAAGCGAGCCCTTTCAGCGTCCGCTGGGATTTCTCCCCTTCCAGATAACGTGCTGTCGCTCCCACACGCCGAAAAAAAGAAACAGAGGAAATTCTCTCAAAACAATCCAGAGAATGGCACAAACCGAGCCGCGCATTCTCCACCAAATCTGTAAGGATTTAGCAGACAGAGACGGATCGTGGTGTGCCAAACTCTGGAAGTTTATTTAAGTTTCTCTCAAGTTCCACTGGTTTACTCTGTTTCTTTCTCTCAGACAGAATAAAGGCAGTACACAGTTTATATAGTCATTGTCACGTCACACATCGAAAGACATACGTGTCACAAAGAGACAGTCAAATCATAGTCATAACATGGAGTCCTTGTAGAGTCCTTGTACAGTCCTGCACGTAGGCCATATTGCTATCTAATACTAATATTCCCAACTCTTACGCGGAACATTAATGAATCATTGTATCGTGAACCAGATGCAATAGTCTTCTGTAAGTGCATGTTTTGTCTTTTGACCATTGTCAAGCATAATTTGAAAAAAAAAAATAATAATTATCCAATCTAATGACACTGAGGGGCCAGAAAAAAATAAGAACTATATTGTACATTCGGATCATGGAAATGCTTGAAGAATTTAGAAGAAATACTGTAAATACTGGGTAATGTATGTTACTTGTACAACTACGCATTTTCATGAAAAGATAATGCAATTCATTCCTCTCAATGTACAGTCTGCCCCACACTCAGAAACCAAACAGAAGACCACCTAAAACACTTTTACTCAGATTCTTTGAATGGCTTTCTGATCCAAACCTCTTTTTAAACTATGTATTCATTAGATCTAGCTGAGATGGAGATATATTTCTTTGAGGATGAGCTGACATTAGGATCAATCCCAATGAGAAAAACCCCCTCATCCATGCCGTCTCCACGCTAAGCAACATGGGCTGGTGGGCAGAAACTTTTAACACGCCTAACGAGGTAGTTTGCCGAGACGTTTTCACTGGGAGCAATATCACCAAATATAGATGTAATTTCTACATAAACAATATCAAACTGTTTTTAGTCCAATGTTTACATGTGGAAAAGGTGAAGAAGGTTATAAACTACACACAAGGGACAACAGTTTCCAGAATGACAGTAACAAGGAAGAATCTCTTATCATCAACGTTCAGAATTTTTGACGCGCTGATTTTTTAAGTTGTAAAAAATTCTGTATGTTTGAAAATGTTTGCAGTTCTCTACGTGGGCTTTTCGTAATCTAATGTAACACAGCTCTAATACACTTCTGTCGTCATGAGTTAATGGCCTTTCAGTTTAAAAACACAGGTTTTATCATTAGAGTAAAGGCCTATTGTCAGGTCAGCTCATCCTGGCACACATCCAGTGCGGCATCTTCCTAAATCTCTTGTATCCTTCAAACACGTAATAATAAAACAAGAGCTTTTTGTATTTCAAACATTTATTTTGTGGAAAAATCTGTAACTGTAAGTTTTTAACATGAGACTTCCTTGAGATGTTTAGCTGGGAACACAGAACAGGCTGGAGCACCACCTCTATATCGTATACAATATAGAAGTGGTTCACCTAAGAAACTATTTTACCTGCCATGTATCACCACATCAAAATCTATAACGGGACTTTCCTGGGTCTAGTTAAGAGTTGAAACAGGTCTAAAATAGAACTACTATGTTCTGCAGTAATTACTAATTAGGTAGAATGTCCCATACAAAACAAAAAATCTGGATTAAAACCTGGATGAAAACATATAAATAAGGGAACAGCAGGGGGACACCAGGAAGATGCATCCTTTGACGGTTTGATGTTATGAGATTGTATTGCTCTGTTTGGTTGAACCGAGCAATACTTGGTGGAAGGGACCTTAATAATTTGTATATGTATGGTATAAAAGAAATAGCATTAAACTGGATCAAGAGTTACTTAACTCAACAAAGTTTACTAAAAGATATGTGACCTTTTATTGTTACTTAAATATGTCTCAATAATTATTGTTTCTTGCCCTTTTTGGTTAATTTGACCAATTTAATCAAGAGTGAGCACACACTTTTAACTATCAAAGTAAATTGATTGTGGTTTTCTCTTCTGCTTTGATCTTTCATGGACCAAAGCAGAAACATTAACCTTAAATACAGTATATCTAATTTCATTTCACTCAGCTGTTACATGGAAAGCACCAACAAAAAGTACCAGAGCAGCACAAGCTATTTATTACGTCATATTTATCCTTTCCATGATTTTGTGTAGTAAACATGTTGCATTTACAATCATATAAAATAAAGTATTCAGTTTAAATACACAGTAATAGCAATGTACCATTTATACATTGTAGTACATGTGTATTGCAATGTTATTGGATTTATGTAACAAACAAAATGTAACAAAATTTACAATTTCTTTCTTTTAGTCTTCAACACAAACACTGTCATACCAATAGCATTTTCTTTAAGTTTTGTTCCAAATAATTCTACTTTTTCAGGATGCAGAATGTTCTCTTTGTAATGCCTTTAAATATAATCTTACTTTTTTCGTTATATATAATGTAAACATTAATGAGCAATTATGATTGTAGCAAGTAATATATAAGTAATACATGCCAATTTTAATATATGTTTTGAGTTACATTACTGATCTACAGAAATATACAACAGTGACAATAATTAACTTTTGTTACTAGTTATCCCAACACTGGTCCAACACAAGCATTGAAAATATGGTCAGAACTGAGGCTTTGCCGATCCATGGGCTCTGCATTTGGTGGAGAAGTGAAAAGTCCCAGGTTTAGTGTGTCCCATGAACGCATCACGGGGTTGCACATCCGGGACACTCGCTCTCACATGTCAGAGCAGTCAGCTGTCAGGAATCCTTCATGTGGAGAACTGTGACAGTGAGAAGACACGTTATTTGGAGAAGATATGGTATGCACTGTTCTCTTGTTGTGTTGTACCTGGTCCAGGGGCAGTGTTCCTGCGGTCATGTGTTTTGCTTTAGCTATATTTGCTGAATGCTAATGCAGTCAAAGCTAGCTAGCTAGCTTTCACTACTGCAGAGAGCCTGCAGCACTAACAGGTGCTGACGTTTGGCTAAAATTAGCACAACAGATCATTGCTAGCTTTCATTCATTGCGAAATGTGTTCTAAAACGTGGTGGCTTTGTGTGATGTGGTTAACTGTGTCATGCAAAGGCTTGTTTTTAATATTTTTGTAGATGGTACAATGCAATGTGCCTTTTCCTTTATGATACTTACTTCACTCCATAATAAGTCTTTTTCTTCCATGTGTTTGACTATTTACTCTTTACTGATAAATAATTTGCAGAATATATCATCTGCATTTACCAATTCCATTTGAATAACAGTGTGTCCAACAAAAGACCCAGATATTTCAGCCAAACGTAGGCTTCATAAAGCCGTTTTATTAAGAAATCACCTTTTAGTGTGAGACACATCAGCCTATTCTAGTGATGGACACACCACCTGCTTATTACTATATAACTTTCATTTGAACTTTCCTCAAAATCTCTCAAATGTTCTTCCTGGAGAATGCCACAAAGTCTGGTGTTAGTTTTCCGCTGATTCATCTTTTATCTGACAGGCGCTAATGGGGATCCAGTTGGTGGTCAGCTTGCTGGCTGCCAGTATCATGCAGAAGATGGCTCCGCACTGTTCATTTGCTCGATGGCTTCTCTGTAACGGAAGGTATTGTCTCACCCACATCTCGTCACAGCAAATGCAGCTGTCTCCGTTCACCCACCTGGAGCTGTGTTCTTCTTTCCAGCTTGTTCCGGTTCAGACACCCTTCAGAGGGAGAGTTGTGTGCTCTGGCAGGGAAGCAGCTGCCCAAACCCAACAGGAGAGACAGGTGAGCCAGGGGTTATGTTTGTAAGATGTTTTATCTAATAATGTTAAAATTTTGGCACGAATTAAAAGCAATTTTTAATGCAGGAGGCAGAATGGGGAGAACAAACCACTGACTGTGCCAAAAGATATCGACCTTTACCTGCATCAGGCCCCAGTCAACGTTATGGATGCCCTTGGTAAAATAAGCATGTAATCCTGTGTTTTGGATTTTATTTTTTACAAATGTAACTATTTTACCCTCAGTGTTGCGCTTCTTCCTGGAGTACCAGTGGCTTGTCGACTTTGCTGTTTATGCAACAGGAGTGTTTATGTTCACCGAGTGCTACTACAGTGTTGTCGATGCCAGCAAAGAGGTCAACATTGGGGCCATCTGGTGTGTTCTGATAGTTCTGTTTGGCCTGTATCCTTTTCAGTGAGCAATTCTTATGGTAAGATTATATTAGTAAGAGTTGAACACTTCATATTCCGTCTTCTCTTAACCCCAAGACATTCAGAAAAACACTTCACACATTAATGAGTCACTACTTTAATTCAGAGGAGGGAGGTGAGCGCTCCGTGTGCCTTGCTTTTGGTTTTCTGTCTCTGCTGGTGGCCATGTTGGTTCTGGTGGTCAGGGAAGATTACCTGGAGTTTGGACTGGAGCCAGGATTCAACAGCCTCTTTGATAACATGGAAGCCTTTCTGAAGCATCAGGGTTATTCAGATTGGTCGTATGTATCTAGATATCAACATCAATGCATAATATATATATTTGGACTAATATATGTGTTTTAATTTAACTAGAATCCCAGTAACTAGGCTGACCCTGAAGCTTGCGCTGGCTGTGGTATGTGCCTACATTGGATCTCTCTTGGCTTTCCCTGGACTAAGACTGGCTCAGACCCATCTTGATGCAGTCCAGATGAACTCTGATCGACCACTTATTCAGTAAGAGCGAGACTTCATTCATGTCGTTTTAGCATTATATCTCTGTTGCATCAGTGAGATTGTAATTGTTTTCACATAGGATTCTGCTGCACATGAGTTTCATGTCACCAATCATTGTGTTGATCCTGTGGGTGAAGCCAATTGCAAGAGACTTTTTGGCGAATGCACCAATGGGAAAGACTTCAGTTACAATGTAGGTGGAAACGCTGTAGTGACTGAAAACGTCATCACTCCACCTGTCTGTTGTTTTTTTGCAGAGTGCCCAGTTCTGCCTTTGACAGTATGCGTTTGGGGATCATCGTGTTTCTGTGCTTGCTGCGTTTGGCCGTCACGCGGTATCACCTCCAAGCCTACCTCAACCTGGCACAGAAGTGGGTGCAACAAATGAAGAAGGAAGCGGGACGTATTGCTGCTATTGACATTCAGAGGAAGGTAAGGCCCCTTTTTATTATACTGTAGCTACATTCAACTTAAGTCACAAGTCCATTAATTGCGTTCTGTCTTCTTTCAGGTCACCCGAGTGTTTTGCTACCTGACAGTCGTGACTCTCCAGTATCTGATTCCTATTTTTCTGATTCTCTTCACCACTCTGGCTCTAAAGTCATTGGGTATGTTTATGATTAACGCAACTATTTCCAATATTGCATAATAAACATGGGGCACAGGCTGGTTTAAAAAAAATTATACACCTCTTAGTTATATTAGATTATTATATTTTGTTGGATTTTTCTGTTTTGATATCTGTATTGTTAAATGTCTGTTTTGTTCAACTGTACACCCCAACTCCACTCATTCAGATTCCTAAATTAGTTTACTTATAACACCAGGGGCAATTCTTTTGAGCTGCACAGGGCATAAAAACATTTAAAAACCCTTGCAAACATATGAGTGTAATAGAGCAATACAAGCTCAAACACCAACAAGCTACTGAGAGTTCAGTCTAATAGTGGTTGGGACTAAAGATTTGAAGTGACTGACAATATAAGACACTACATTATCATTTACTAAAATCTTAAATACAAATAGCTGCTGTGTTAAATTGACCAGTATCTTTTGTCACAGTTGTTTTTGGATTGCAGTTTTGCACTGAACAACAGTGCTACCGATAGCCTAATGTCACAGTTGTAATAAGTGATATGATCTTTACCTGCAGGGGACTTCTCGTGGATCCCTGGAGAAGAACAGCCCCCTGGTGTGACCCCAGCTCTGGTCTTGCCCACCGCAGCCCCTGCTGTCTCTGGGGTCCTGGAGGAAGATGAGGAGGGGGTGGACTATATGGAGGAGGACATCCAGGCCACAGTAGCCCGTTTGTCGGAAAGCTTCAGTGCTCTTAGATCTGTGCTGACGCCGCTGTTTTTCAGAGGCTTCTTTGCGTTCCTCACCTGGTGGGTCGCGGCCTGTCAGGTCATCAGCTCCCTCTTTGGCATCTACTTCCACCAGTACCTTATGCACAGCTAAACGTGTACACTGCATCTGTGTGCACGTGTACAGGCTGCTGAGATACATGCAGATACACATTTCTAAACTTGTGCCATTCACCCCGACTCCCTCCCACAGACGGTTTGAGGATACTGTGATGAAGAACAGACAAGTGTGATCCATCCTCATCATACTATTGACACAATACACAAGTTCACATATGTAATGTTTGTTATTGAGGCGTGGGTACCTGATCTTTACAGGTCGCCCCTTTCTGTTTATTTATTTAAATGTATTTGTTTTTGACTCAATACTGAGGAGTGATTCTTTGACCGAGCAACTGCAGCCGTTCAGACTGATCTCAGTTTGTCCCAAGTGAAGCAGAGGTCACCAGAATTGGACCAATTCTGATTCACTTGGGGCAAAATCCTCATTTGCGGAGATGTGTAAACACCAAACGAGTGTTCCCTCATTGGGTAGTTGTATAAGTCTGTTCACTTCTTTGGAAACAACGGTAGTGACATTATTCGGACTGTTCCGACCCATAAGTGAACTGGCTTCTGAGCAAAGCTTTTGGCTTTTACTCCTACATTGAGAGCAATTATTAATTATTATTAACATTTTCTGTACGCCTAAACCATGGTTTCTGTAGGAAAAGGTGAGCTTTATTAATAAAATATTAGTGGGATGATAATTTATCAAACTCATGTCCATTAACTCAAACACATTTAGAAAGCTCTTTTCACTCTTTAATATCTGACTGCAGTGACGCGCAATCAACTGGTCGAACACAATTTTTTTAATGTGACTATTATTTCTACTAACTTAAAAAATAAGGTGTTTACCAGCCTTTTCTTCAACGCATGGTTAAAAATCCCAAATGCTGCATTATTTTTGTACACTTTAGTGTTTGGAGGTGATGACATGTAATTGTAAAGGGGTTTTTTAATCCCTGTGTAGATACTAAAGGAAAGATTTAAGATCTTTCCAAAGAAACCGATTCAAGAGTGCTAAAAGTGTTGTTATGTACAGTTTGATCCGTAGGCGACTGTGTGACTGTGAGCCCGTTTCCAAACGGACAGACGCCAAGATGGAGTCAGTTGTTTTGCTGTTTGTTTTGGGTTTTTTGTCTAAGTGCCTGTAGGCTCAGGGATACTGTATACAACCCTAGTTCATTTTCTTCTCGTATACAGTATACAGAATAGTTTTTTAATGCTAATGCAATCCAAACTTATTATAATGAGATTGATCAATTGTATTTTTTTAATTACATCAACTTAACTATTTAATAGTTTCATTTGTATCAGTAGTTGTTTGATTGTATGGTTTTTTTTGTCTTTGCACTGACATGGTACTAAAGTGTTCCCATTCTATTATGTTTTTGAAAGCATGGTGTGAACTTGGTTATAAACTTAAGGTTTTATTACTATGGCATAATAATAAAAGGTATTTTATCATTTAACATCTTGGAGCTATTAATGTCTCTCCATTTAATTCAGTGTACACTGCGGAGCGTGGGAGATGTCTGGATGGGCCGACTAAAGTCCTGCATGACAATAGTGTCTGGTGGTCTGACCTCTGCCCCTGCCTCCATGGAAGTTAATTCTTTAATCACATATAATTACTATGAACTCAGTGCTCTCCTGGACTGTGAGAAGACTTAAGTTGTACTGCAACTTTTTATCTGTGTAGATGTGAGTGGCAGCCAATCATAGTTTCCAAAATAAGGAACAATGTTTCATGATAGAATATGAAAGTGCATTCGGCATCTTCAAAATCTAACTGCACGATTACAAGGACTTCAGAAGGAAAGTATCATGGTACTAAATCTGGTGCAGCCATTATTATTTTCATAACTGCTCATTGTCCTTAAGAAATTAAACTCTAAAAATAAGATGGATGACATTTGACCCACTCTGCAATGCCACTAAAGCTAATCTGCCAGGAGTAGGTAGTGGTAGTGGTTTCTGCAGGACAGTTTCCAGATGTTGAGGCTCAGTTTGGTCAGGACTGGAGCTGGAGGATTTTATACTCTCATATTTGTTTTGTTACCTCTGCCCAGAAGGTAAAGTGATCACCAGCATTTGTTTGTGAACATCAATTAAAAAATTATGGGAGGATTTAGACAAAAAGTAGAGGTCTGTGTTACAGACTATAGAATTAAGAATTAAAGACCAAGAATTATAAAAATAAAAAATAAATGATATTGTAAAAAAAATTACAAGTGGATGAAACTTTTTTTATACAAAGTCTTTACATATTTTATAAACAAACAAACAAATCATTTTGATCAGTTGATCAGTAGTTCCAAGAGCTCAGTGAATATTGAAGTTTTCATACATTCTGCCCCCGGAGAAGATCTTCATAGAGATGACTTACAGTTACACATTGAACTGTGTGAATAATAATACTTTAAAAACGTCCTTCTGATTTGTGACACAACACAGAAACACTGAAGGACATCACCCTTTTTTGGGTGGAGTTTGTCTTTATCCACACATTTTGAATTCTTACCTTTTTGGCTCTTTCCTGCACTATTACTATTTCTTCACCTTCATTATCTGTACTGGAAACCTCTGCTTGAACCGCTGCAGCCACCACAGGCCTTGTGTGTGTGTGTGGGACCCAGACACGGGCCGTCCCAGGGGACCAGCCCAGACGTGACCCCCAGTCTGACTCTTTTCATTTCCAGAGCAGCTGGTGACGGAGATGGACCAGGCTTCCTCTGCTCCGCTTGTCTGGTTTGGATAAAAATGAAAAGGAAAAAAGCAAACGCACCATAGGAGAACACCATCACCACCATTGACGCAGTGGCAAATGTGAAGGCCTTTTAAAGTGATCCATTTTGTGTCCGTCTCGTTGGTCGGCTGCATGGTGTGTTGCAGTGACAGGAGCGAGACATGATAATGAGAGCCAGAACAGAAGTGTGTAGCACTAAATAAATGGAGACATGAAAGTATGATGGCTGCGCAGTGGACATCTTTTCATCTGTGGTCACATAAAAAAGGAAACTGCAGCTCCGGGAGACACAATTTACCTCAAAGACAAACAGAAATGTGACGGTGTGAAGCAGGAATGTACAAACCATTTTCTTTAATTGAAGCAATAACATCAAATGAGCCAAAGATATGAAAAAAAACACACACTTTCACACATAACACTGAAGATATTCCGATAATTGATAACAACAGCATCATTATTTCAGGCCTCTGTGAAGATCAGCTTGATTTCATTGGATCATTGATCTCGTGTATAAGGCCACGCTGCTCTAGGGTTTCCTTCGTTATACAGAGTGAAAATAGATAGTTTAGCCGTAATTTCAGGCTACTGTAAAACATACAAACATGTGATCACAAGCAGCTTCAAAGCAAATGTAATGAAGCACAACCTGATTTGAATAAAAGAAATGACTAAATATGACTGATTAATTTTAGATCTGACCAGTGTGGGGTAAGTTACACATTACTAATTGCAAAAGGGAAAACAAGTACATTACTTTATAACTGCATCAACAAAGTAACATCCTTTTTGAATTACTTTTTCCGTAATAACATTCAAAAGAAAATGACAGGAAACGACAGTAGAAACATCTGTGCTCCTGCTGCTGAAAAAGGCTGGAGGTTTTTATGAGGCAGAATTATGTCAGGCACCATCTTTAAGCAGTGAGATGTTAGTTTGCAAAATAATAAAATGCAATAAAATACCCATCAGTGTAAATAGAAAGTATATTGTTTGTAATCTAGCACACTTTTTAGTCACGTCAAATGTAATCTAATTCATGGTCAGGGTGTAAATTCTGAAGGACGGTATATTGCCTCAGAGATATATTGTGATTAACAAAACATTGTTAAAGATATACAGGAGGATTTTCTACTTCCGGGTGGATCATCAAGAATATTGGTCCTCCTAGTTGTCAATCGTTCTGGTGATACGTGCTCGTCAAATAAGACCAGAGAGTTTTTCAAAAAGGAAAGAGAGCGGTTCTTTCCTAAAATGTTGTAAAAATCCTCCTAAATACCTTTAATCAAATTCTCATAAAATGAATCAATATTCAGCCACAGAACGTACTTATTCAAACCGAAAAAAAGTCATGTGACTGCATCAATCTTCCCAATGTTGCAAAGGATTTGAAACCCAAATGATCCGTAAACTATTGAACAATCAGTCAGTATAGTTATTATCCTAACAGGCCGACTTGATTGTCAACTTGATACTAAAAGTTGCAAGTCATAGTTTATCAATAGTGATATTTTGTCAAAAGCGGGAAAAATACAATTGAAAAACAAGGGGAAAAGCCACTTCCGTGACATTCTGACCTATTCTAAAGGAGTATCTGTGTTATATATGTTTTGCCTTTTATTTCTGAATTCTATTTTGAAATAACTAGGGACAGTTTTACACCAACCCACATAGTTTAGAACAGGGGTCTCCCACCTGTAGCTCGGGAGCTACCAGTAACTCGCCAGCCCCTTTTAGGTAGCTCCCTAAAGGATGTAGATTTTAACACATGATCCTGAATGATTAAGTTCAATTCAATTCCATTCTAACGTGTATATATCGTGTGATACAGTATTGGTATATTTTGCATGTGTTTTCCATGTTTTGTCATAATTATTATATCAATTTTTATTATGACTGCAAAAAGGAGTATTTTTCTTATTTAAAGATAAGTAATTTTCTTATCTCAAGTTTAACCAATCTCTGTTTTCATGCCATCTGTTTCTGTTCTCTTTGAATTGTTAGACCCCATACATAAGCTTGTGTAGCTTCCTAGGGTTTCCATTTCTTTTTCTCAGTGTATCAATGTATGAGTAAATGTTTTATTGTGAAGGAGAATAAACTGAAACTGAGTACTGTAGCTATCTGCCTCCAGTTGTATAAAAGAAGCTCTCTGATTGAAAAAGGTTGGAGACCTTGGTTCAGTATCACACTTGCATTCATGAAGCTTTTCATTCCATGTCCAAAGCAGGAATAACCTCTGTGACCATTGAGAGCACAGTCTAGTTTGCGAATAGCGCAATAGAAAGCATGTGTACGATTGGCAGATGATTAAACAATGTCATCTCTCTACTGTAAAAGCGTAAAGAAACCGGCTGGGATTCTTCTTTTTTTTTCTTTTTTAATGAAAAACACGTACAACTATCTCCATTATTAACCCATTAGAGTAAAAAAGACAAATCTCTACGGAGAGACCAGCTCTGTTTGTTACGTACAAAGTGTGGACAGGATGTTACCTCCTCCCTACGTCTGTGTGAGATCAATGGCATCACTTTAATACAGCTATCTCTGCCAAGTGTCCCGGAGCTCCACTGGCCTCAGCATCTCCTCCTCGCTGTGGCAGAGCTTCATCTGATTGGCCGGCTGCGTGTGCGAGGGGCTGATTGGAGAGCGGGCGTTAAGCTGGAGCAGAGGAGGGGAGGACATGAGCTCGGGGGAGGTGCGTTCTGATTTGATGCTGAGGTTCAAAGAGGAGAGGTGTGGAGAGGTGGAGGAGCAGGGCTGAGGCTGGAAAGAGCACCCTCCGCTGGACATTCTGTGTACAGTAAGCAACAAGCAACAGTCAGGCCTTCAGTGTGAACAGATCACCAGGGTATAGCGAGTAAAAAATGCAATACATACACTGAGAGTGTAGGTTCAGAATTCTACCTTCAACTTGATTACATTTAATATATTGTTGTATAATCATAAATCACAACAGTAGTTATCTTGGGGGACATTACAAAGTTCACCAACACAGATCAAAGAATCAAACCGTATTTGAAACTCATCACTTTGGTCTTTTGATAGGATTTAGTTTTCTATTTAATGCCATTTTGACGGGATGTTTTCATGAAAGCTAATGAAAAGGTCTCTTACGGTGTGTGTGCCAATTCCTTTTCTAATCAACAATAAACAATAATGCATACAAATTCTTGCTGGAGTCGACCAAAGACTTTCTGATTACTCGACTAGAAAATATCTAGCCTAAGCTGTACTCACAAGACTTAAATTATAAAGCGCTTCATGTGACTGTAGGCTGTGAAATGCGCTATATAAATAAAGATTACTACTGCCTTAATGTCATGCAAAAACCATGTAGGCATAAAATCACTTGAAGACTATTCATAAAAAGATGAATGAACTGAGTTTGGTCTTTAAAATTTATTCCATGTTTTTTGATTTTGTGCAGTTTTTCAATAGATATTTTTCAAATAAATTATGAACATTCGACTAATACAGTATTTTGTAAACAAATGAATTTTTACTGCAAATCACAATTTATGATAACTAATGTTTGGATTTACAGGCTGGTGCTAAGTGTACTGGGTGAAGCTCTGACTGCCACCCCACGACCCAGAAATGGATTAAGGGGAAGAAAATGGATGGATGGATGGATGTTTGGATTAGTGTTGTCTTGCTCTTATTGTTTGATTCTCAAATCTATTGTTGGCAAATGGAAAATTTTGTAATAATTAATTGTGGTTTATCATCAAGGGAGATAACCACAATTTCCATTTATGATCCAAGGACTTCAGAATTATGAAAAAAGAGGCTTAGCTTTAGCGATACGAGCAACAAGCTTTTAAAGAATTATATATTTCAAAAAAGTACATGTTTTGAGTATTACAGAGTTTATCAAATAGTGAAAAAGTAAGTATCCAATAGAAACCGTATTTGTTTTGAAATGCAAGAAACTCACACTTTTTGCCTTTGCTGTTATTTTTGCTGAAATCCAAATTAAATATATGAACAGATACAATTCAATATTATCACTTTATTTAAAAAAAGTTTAACATTTGATTGTAAGTGTGTATGTTTTCTATGAGATTTTCTTTGTGAATGGAACAATTATCCACAAGCCTCAGGAGAGATTCAGTTCCAGCTCTGTCATTATGTGCTTGTTTGGCTTCACCTTTACCTGTTGTAGCGAGTGTGAATGAGATAATGAGGGTAATTATAATTTACACAATGATCTCATATGCAGCGTTTAGTATATGAGCTTTACTTGTAAACTCTGTGGAGTGTAGACTACTGTTGTGACCATATTCTCCAGGTTAATCCCACTTTTCCAATATTGCAGTGATAATAATCCCATTTTATATTGAAATTGACTTTGAGGGTAATTATGCAAAGTCGTTAAAATCCTACAATGTCGTATTCAGATGTTATAGCATTCCTACCCTGGACTTAGAGGGTTCCCGTGGGGGTCCTGCAGAGGCTGTGCTGTCGGCCATTGGTTCACTGCCGCTCGCTGAAGACTGTGATAAAATCCAGACTGACTATATTCTGAAACAATAACACATAATCTTAAATTGACTTCAAGAATTAGATCAATCAAAATTTCCTTTGGTTCATCATTTTCAACATACCAGGAGCTGCAGGAGATGGCATGCCATACCCTCCCAGGCTGTGGCTCAAAAGTCCTGTTTTGCCCATGGTCACAATGGATCCAGCTGAGTGCAAACCCTGGTACAAGTGCCCCCTCTGGTGACCGCAAGAAGAACAGCAGTAGAATGAAACTATCGGCTGGAGCACCATAAACTATGTAATAAACAATTCAATTCAATGTAATCTTGTGTTGCCCTAAATCACAACAGTAGTTATGTCAGAGGACGCTGAAGTTTCCAACACAGAATCAAAGAGTTTAAAGATAAAAAGAATGTAAAACATGTAGGTATTGGTCCATAGGGAGAGACCAATGTCCATGAATGTTGATAAATGTCCATAAATGTTGAGAATGTTGAGTGTTCTGGTTCATCACCACGGTCCTTTTTGTTAGATCCACTAAAAAGAGCCTCCTGCATTGGCAAGGAAAAACTCTAGAACCCAAACAAGATCTATTATCTATAGAAGAATATACATGTATTTGTCATTTGCAGTAAAACCACATTGGTAAAACTGCGCAAGACTACTGCAGAGTGCACCAGACAGAGAAGATAGTACACACCGAAATACATCAAACGAGTTCCTGGGTCTAAAATGGTTTGGTTCTATCACTCGTTTTCACATGACTCTTTTGGTCTTTGACACATCTTTAGAGCCCAAAGAGAGAATTCTGTGGTCTGATTTGTTTTTACAATTTTACTATTGAAAGGCAAAAGTAGGGTCACCTGTTTTTTGTTTTTTTTTACTATATGAAACAAAGAAAGTTATGTATCCAAGATTTAATCAAAAAGATGCAAACATTGATGAAATTGATTTAAAAAAATGTTGCCAAGCTGCCCTGATTTTCTATTATGTATATATTACATTATATTGCCCAGATTAAAGTAGGCATTGAGAGAACATATTGCTAAAAGGGGAAAAAAACAACAATGATAAATACAAAGCACAAAGTCCAAATTTCTTTTTTTCTTAAATAAAACCAAATTATTGATTTTTGAGATCTGTTATGTCATGCCTTCAGGAGATCAATAAAAATACCAAAATGGCCCAAACCGTGTATTTTCATTGCATTACAAATTGTCCAAACATAGCTTTTGTAAATGTGGCAGTAATTATGTGGCACAGCCAAAATCTGGCAACACTCACATTGGAGAGGTGGTTGATGCGAGGTCCGATGGCTTGGGGGGTAACTGGGAGGTCCCTCTGCCCCTCAGGACACGGAGAGGGAGGGGGCGTCTTCATGTCCAAGGCCCGGTTCAGGTTGCCATGTGCAAACACGGAGTAGCCAATACCTGCCAAAACACCGCAGGACACGTGGAGCAGGAAGTGAAAAGAGATGTGAGCGCAGCACCTTCCTCACCTCCATCTGTGACATGCAGTTCCTCTTTTATATTTCCAAAGACAATGCTTGAACTGTGCCCACAACTCAATTGATGCCACTTGTGTTTTATAGCCTTGTGTACGTTTAGTTTAGCTACGTTTATTTGTTTAAAATGACAGGGACGGCGTACAATAAACATTAACCTCAAAGGGAAAGATGCATTGTACCAGGTTATAGCTCAAGAGCTCCTTTGCCGTAGTCCCTGAGCTGATGTTATGATAGTACTGTGAGATTTCATAACACTTTTAAGCAACTATTGTTAAAGTTCAAACTCATCATTCTATCAATGTGCAGAAGCCTGTACTTTTCCCTTGTTTTGTCTATCTGAAGGCCAAGCTACATGGCACCGTGGAAGCTGCTGATTGGAGGTCTCCATGCCTCCGCTCTGTATAATACACTTGCATTCTATTGTTTGTGTTGTTCGTGCTGTCTCTACCATCAACAATAAAACATGTCTTCTGTCGGAATTTAAGACACGATCCCAGACTTTGTCATCTTCTTCAGTACATTAAAATAACAAACAAGCATGGATGTACAGTTTACGCACAAAAATACAAAAAAGATCAAGTCTTCACGCACACAATTTGCTAAAACCTTTCATATTGCTCATTTATACAGGTCAAACACACATATACACACAAATCACACGGCCCCTTCCCACACACACACACACTCTCTCTCTCTCTCACACATAACCACATACACACACACAGACACACACACACACACAGACACACACACGCACGCTACACATGAGTGCAACAACTGCATCTTTTTGCATGCAGTTGTTTGCCCTCATAGAGCTTACATTAAGTCCTTTGGTGACATTTTAAAAACTTATTTTGCTTATGATCAAGATGTTTAAGATATTGCAATTTGTGCTAAATTTACGTTGGAGCGAATAGGAATCCTTTACATTACCTACTGTAATGACTGAAGTAAATAAATGTGGGATTAAATAAGAGCTTACTTCTTCCTACTCCTTTTCCATCATCCATAAGTGTTATGTTAGCATTATTACTCTTTTTGTTTTAGAAGTTGCTTGTGATTAATTTGCACTAATTATTTCTATGCCCACTTGCTCAAAATAAATCAATAAATAAATCATGTTTGGTTTGATAATATCCATTTCTTTAAAAGGCGTGAGAACATATAAGAATTTGTGCTTGCGATCAGCTCAGTGCATCCTACACTCTGTAGATCTCGTGTTGTTAAGTCGGAGCCCAAAGAGATGAACTCTTTCAGTGGAGCAGCAGTGTCATGAAGGATATTATAAAAGACGCAGATATGTGTATGTTGGGTCAAATTATCATGGTTTAAGATCTTATGTTTTGTAAGGAAATGTATGCTGATTCTTACTATGCCTTACTCTATTCTCTACGTTTGACCGTTTGCACCGAGAGCCAAAGCAATTTCCTGTGACTTGCTGTTACTTAATTTGGCAATACAACATATTCTGATTCTGTTTCTGATGTGACAGTGATGGAAACGTTTGCTTTTTTTATCGTGGATTTTTAGTCTCTTAGTTTTTTTTAAGGACAATACAAATCAAGACAGAAAAAACAACAGCATTATAAGTCTAACAAAACAACACAAAGCAAGGACAAAGAATGGACAAACAAACACACCGAAGAAAAAAAAAAAAGAATATAACAGACAAAACAAAGAATTTTTCACATTCACACAAAAACTATTGTCTATTTCTTTAATGCTATACAACCAGATGCCAGGGCAAGACAGGAGAAGTGTGAGTTATAAAATTAAAAAAAACAATACACAAAACGCAGAACTAGTTAATGTCACCACACACTCACACAGAGACAAGGCCGGTTTCACACCAATGTTTCCTGTGACTTATCAGCAGCTGTGAGTCCACGAGGGGTCAGACAGATAACACTGTCACTATGTTATCGATGCTATAACGCACAGGGCTGTCATGCTGAATATTTATGTAAATATGCATGATGACAAAAGTGACATTTGAAAGTGTATCTACAGTATATTTGACACTTTTGGAAACCTTCGCAAAAATGTCCAAATAATCTGTGTTTTGTGATACAAATAGAACATAAATGTATACAAATTGGATATTTTTGTAGTTTTACCTAAATCAAGGGTAAATGTGTGTTGTTGATATATTCAAACTGAAATAATACATGTCACAACTAATTGAAATAATCCCACCAGTTCAAACATGAATGACTTCTATGGTACATTCACACTTGTTGGTCTGGTTCACATTAACTGGACCAATCCTGGTTCAATTGGGGCAAAATGTCTTTATTTGTGGATGTAAAAGCACACCAACACTCGTCACTTCAGTCAGTTCACAGATCTGTTGAATCAGATCTGTGAAGCAGACCTGGTCCAGTTAATGATCTATAGACTTACCTGTGTGTGGAGACATGAAGGCACTGTGGGGGTGGGCAGCAGCAGGACTAGCTGGTCCGGGTTTAGCGCTCAGGGCCTTGAACCCAGAGTGCCTGTGGGTGCCCGGGTTGGGGGTGTTGAGGTGCCCGCTCTCCCAGCTGGACGAGACTAGGAACTGGGCCTCCGGAGCGAGCAATGAGGGAGACTTTGGAGGAAAATATGTCTCGAGTTAATTCATTTCTACATTCATTACTTACCGGTAATTGAAATAGCAAATACTGCATGTTTTTTTTTATTTCACTGAAAAATATATGATTTCAGCTGAAGAAATAAAGGCAATGGGATGTTATTGCTTTGTTTTGAGCGTCTCTCAGTAAATGCTAATAAACATATATTATTCACACACATTCACTGCTTACAGTATGTCGCAGATATGACTCATGACTTAGCCTGGGGAAGTCACTTCTCTGTCTTTAATGTCAAAGGTGATTTAAATGCTCTATTGTGGATCATTCTAAGTCATAAACCAACATTAAGATTGAGCAAAAACCTAATGCTTTAACAGAAGTTTGTTGCCATGACAACAAGACTATAGCTTCATTAACGTGAATGAATACTTTATTAATGTAATAGATGGAGTATAGATAGAGTAAATACTTTTTAAAAGATGAAAAATTATTTGTGCCTCAAACTATGTTTTTTTTACTCAACAGATTTGTTTGTTTTGTTCAAAATTGACATTTGTACTCACATAGAAGCGCTGCCGTGCCACGGACAGGTCCACTCCTTCACTCAGCCGATCAGACACGACCTGCATGCTCTCCTCACCGTCCATCTCTGAGCCGTCCAGACCCAGACCTTTCCTACGGAGGGTCTGGAAATAAGACACAATGTGTCGTCTTCAGATCTTATCTGTGACCACTGACTAAATGTGGTCCCCAACAACAGAAAAGACTAGTATGTATTCTCATTGAACAGCTGGCCATAAAGTGTTTTTAAGTACAATACACTTCACTATTTTGTACTGGTATCTGTGTTACTTATTTGGGACTAATAAAAGGTACAGAAAACATGGGATGTTTCAGTGTTGCATAGTTTCAGCCAAAGAAAAGAAAGCTTTAAACAAGGTGCTCCGCTCTGAAAGAGGACTGTGAGTACTTCCCTCTGGCAGAAGATATTGTTTGTTGAAATGTAGGACATCTCACTTTGCTAATAGCTTCTTTTCACAAGCTGTTATCAGTTTAAACAAAGCACTTTAATGATCTTGCACTTATTGAAACTGTTTTAGTCGATGGACTTCACAGTGTCAATTGTTTGTTTTATTCCTGTACTTTTAATCTTGTTTTGTTTATGTAGTTTTCTAGTGCACTCTGGGGACTTTTGCATATGTATTCCAATGTGGTTTTACTGCAAATGGCCAATAAAATGAATCTGAATCTGTATCACAAGTTACAGCACAGCAGGAATGAGTACGACTTGCACTAAAATAAAATAAAAATGACCAGGACATGTAGAGAACACAATAAGAAACATATTTATGCTGCTTATGAGTTAAAAAAAAAGTCGATTTGGTGTTTAGTTGTCCTTTTAAGGGTTGAACCGGTCTCACCTCCAGTATGTCAGTGTTGGTGCGGCTCTCGTGCGGCTCGCTGTACTCCGTGTACTTGAGTAGCACTTTGTCCATGTCGGTGCTGGCGTACTGGAAGAGGCGGTTGGTGCTGTTGAAGATGATGAGGGCGATCTCACAGTCACAGAGAACGCTCAGCTCGTAGGCCTTCTTCATCAGACCGAACTTACGCTTGGTAAAAGTCACCTGCAGACAGATGGAAAACAAGTGAGACAGGAAATAAAACCATAGCAGACCACTCGCTAACTCGGTACTGAACCTAGTTGGACTGTATTTTCATATGTATTTTAGTAACTTGCACTTTTGTTGAAGTGTATCTTAATTTGTATTTTGGTAAACTGCACTTTTTATTTAAACTGTATGTTAATATGCAAGTTATGATTGTAACAGGCTTATATCACTACGCTGCCGAACGGAACGTTTTAAGAGATCCTTTGTTCCTTCGGCTGTCAGAATGTACAACAAACCTGTACGAGTCTTCTGCTGCTGGACATCTGAATTTCTTCTACGGGGGATCATCTATCTGTCTGTCTATCTGTCTATCTATTGTCAAGGACTACAGATGGATGTACCATGGTGCGACATCTGGTGCAGCCATCTTTTTAATGCAACTGCGCATTGTCCATAATAAATCATACTTAAACTCTCACCAGGGGTCTCAAACATGTGGGGTATTTTGTGGCCGTCTAGTGGACCTAACGTGTGGGCCCCTACTGAGAGTCTGGGCCAATATGGCGTGTTGTGGATTCTGGCAAACGCTGATTTTATTAAGAAAACAACCACTTCATTCATATCACTGTAAACATTGAAGCCTATACGGTGGCAAGAAAGTCCTCGATTCCACCTCCAGACCTTTCTGTGTGGAGTTGGCATGTTCTCCCCGTGTCTGTGTAGGTTTCCTCTGGGTGGAAGTGGTGGTCAGCCGAGCTAGTTGTTCACTAGAGCAGCGTGTCTAAATATGCCTTTTGCGTGTTGTTTTAAGTTTTCTTACCGATCGAATCGCAAAATCTTTAATGGATACTTTGGGATTCCTCGTGAAGAGATTAATAAAGAGCCTCGCACTAAGGATTTTATAAAAAGGCGCAGGAAAAGGGGCTCTCAAACACAGCCACAGACCCATTGTTTTGTTGAGAATGACAAGTTCATTCACCAATCGTTACTTACACGGCTCTTTACGATGCAGGATTTGTCCTTCAGGACCTTAACTCTGAGTTCCTTAACCCACACAGACAGACGGAAAAGTTGCAGCATCCATGTTTTTCCAAACCTTCATTTGTTTAGCAGTGCAAAAGCTTGATTGTAACACTAGCTAGTGGATTAGAATCTAAAGTGAAGAAAATGACAGTCCAGGATCATGTCTTTAATTCAGACAGAAGACATATTTTATTGTCGATGGTAGAGGCAGCATAAACAAAGACGTTACAAAATGTAAGTGACATACAGCAGAGGAATAGAGACTTATTAGCATGTTAGCATTCGCTGCGGTGCCAGTAGCTTCAACCTTGATATTATCAAAACATGTAGTGGAAAAAATTCTGCCTTGTGCATATTGTTAGAATGATGAGTCAGAACGTTAACCAAGCCTCAAAGTGTCATGGAATATCCAAAAAAGCAAACAAATACTCGGAAGAGTCGCATTTTCTCCACATATCAGCAGCAACTCTTGCTGGCCTGACCACCACTTCGTCAACCGGAAGTTTATGTGTCACGTGATTGCAAGCCAAGAATAGTAATAAACCAACTATTCAAACTGGACTGTTTTTTGAGAATCTTGGATAGTCAGAGAATTAGCAGGAAGGGCTAAAAGCGTTTAGTTCTCTCCGAGTGCATCTATCCAAAATGTACTCTCACTTACTTTCTGCCACCAGTTAAGCCCCGCTCCACAAGAAAAAAACATCTCTTTGTTTACAAAATTGGAAGGAGCGTATATTGAGTCCTATATTTAAAAAAAAGCAAAGAAAAAAGCATATTACAAACTGACCTGTCGATTCCTTTGGTCCAAGATGCGAGATATTGTTATTTTCTTTCTTCCCATGTTTTCTGTTGGCAGGAAACTGAGGAAGACACATAAGACACAGACGTGATATAAATGAGAGTAATATCGAATGTATTAACACAATTTACAATACAATTTATTCTTGTATAGCCCTAGGTCACAACAGAAGTAATCTCAGAGGACTTAACAAAACCATTGAAATCACCAACACAGGTCAGAGAATCAACAGTTAAAACACATGAAGAATATAAAGCACACACAGAAAAAAATGTCCATACATGTTGTAGAATGCTAAAGTGTCCTGATCATCACCAATCCTTTCTGTTGGACACTAACTGTCCAACAAGACCCTCCTGCATCGACAAGGAAAAACTCTTAAAAAACCCAGTGGGAAAAAGTGAGAAACCTTGGAGGAGAACTAGGGAAACCCACAGGGAGGGAGACCCATATGAGAAAGGGATCCGCTCCTCCGGACGGACAGGCTAATGATTTAGGACCTAAGCTAGCTACAGAACGTGGACCAGTGGCCTCTATTTAATGTTGTTGAATTTAGATCTATGGGTCGGGTCCTTGGGTTGTTCACTCCACTCAGAATATAATATTTGTTCTCATTAGTTGAAAGAGTGGCAGCAGTTAAAGGATGAAATATGGTACTTTATAAATATATCCAAAATATCTAAAGCTCTCGCAAACACTTGGTATAAATGTTTCTAAATGTGTAGACCTCTAACTCAGATGGAAAATAGTGAAATAGGCTTTCACCAATCATCTCTCAGCCTAAAATAGTAGCATCTTTTCTATCATTTTCACAACTATGAGAGATTAGGACCATTCCATAAGGTGATAACCACAATAATAAAGGTCAATGAAGTGTCCTAAAGTTTCACAGGGGCACGATTTTAGCCCAGACAGTTGTGTCTCGAGCTAAACTTAGCCGCTGTTTTGTCGAGGTCTGACCCCCACCTCCTCTGTGACCCCCCCGCAACAGCACGATGACCCAAGAAACAGGGCTATAAATACAGCTTAGCACATTTCAGGCTAGATTGTTTGTAAAAAAAAAAAAAAAAAAAAAAAAAGTACTGAAAGCCGCCCACTCATTTCTCAGGCAAAACTATAAAAGAAAAAATATGTTCAAAATTATTGAAAATATATTGAATGGAATTATTATATTGAATGGCATACATGGGATGAGGGCACGTTTATTTTTGTTATACATATTTATTATTCTCTTGACAAATTCAGATTCAGATTCAGTGTAATATTTGACAGAAAAGCAGGTGTTGCTCGATAGACATTTCCCTTTGCCATTAGTGTCGCTCTCCTGCTAACCCACACGTTTCCAAAGCCCCTGGTTTTCCCCTCAGTCTTAGATATTTGTTGGATGACTCTATATTTAGAGTGTGTCCCAGTTGGCGGATATAGTGGCCAGTTCCCATGACCCACGAGTGCCCGTCACAACTCCACGTCATTGGTGCTCGGGCATCTGGGGCATTTCAGCTGGAATCCACCACCGCGGCCTTAAAGGACTACCTTATAAAGTTGTGTCATGAAGAACAGATAAGACAGACCAGTGTCAAGATGTCACTGTACAATAAAGACTGAGGTCCGTGCCCATAATTATAACACAAGCAGCAATGATGCTCCTTGAAAATGAAGCTGTCATAATGTGTATGAAAATAAATAAAAAATAATGATAACAAACAATCCATCCATCTTCTTCCCCTTAATCCATTTCTGGGTCGGAGTCAGAGCTGCACCCAATCCACAGAGCACCAGCCCCTCACTGATCCTCCTGCAGGTGGTGAGTCCACAGGAGGACGACAACACAGCCTTGATCTCTCAGCGGGGGCTTCAGGTAAAGTGGGATTAAGTGTCTTGCCCAAGGACACAACAACAGCAGGCATCAGTGGGAGTAGGTTTCGTGGTGGGCTCAAACTCACGATCTTCCGGCTCAAAGACTAATGCTCAACTTATAATTTATTATAAAGCATAATAATAATAATAATAACAATAATAGTAATAATAATAATAATAATAATAATAATATGAAAGTTATAGTAGGGCTGCACAACTAGCAGGGGCTTTTGGGGTCCCCTTAGAAAACAAAAGTGAGCATTTGAATTGTACAATGCATTATATACATAGCTTTATTTCTCAGCAAGGTATTTATAATTATTATTATTGTTACTAATTTTTTCATTGTTATTCTGTATTATTATACAGAAAACACATTCTCAAGCAGGTGCAGCACAGACGTGGAGACCTTGCAGTTTTAAATATATTATACTTATGTTTTGGTAAATGTTTTTCTTTCTTCTCATTGAGTATGGACGGTTTTATGAGCAACACGGAACAGATAGTTTTCGACAAAATCTAAACTATTATACTAACTAAAATATTGTTTTGAGCTTTAATATTTTATAATTTCTTGTACTCTTGATTATTACGACTTGAAAAACAAAAAATGATTTAATGTTATTTCAAGAACTGTTGCTATATATACTCATCCCAAGGGAGACATTTCTTGTATCTTTAAGATAAAGAAATGTAAGATAATTTTGCCTGTCCCATTGGCAAATCTGTTTTTTTACGGCAGTCAAAATGTGCTCACATTAAGATACATTCAATGTGAGCAATTTTTGACCTTTTGTTCGAGACTTAGCTTAAATGTGCTGATATTGACGAGCACATGAAAGAATACAAATTAATGTGATTAGATATCAAACCCTGTGTGCTCGGGGCCCTCACTGGCGCAAAGGTGGCTGAGTGGATAGCACTCTCGCCTCTCAGCAAGAAGGTACTGGGTTCGAATCCCGGCCGGACCAGGGCCTTTCTGAGTGGAGTTTGCATGTTCTCCCTGTGTCTGCGTAGGTTTCCTCCGGGTACTCCGGTTTCCCCTACCACTAAAAATATGTACAATACGTCTGGCATGCGCCTCCTGTACTGGCGACCCCGCTCCCATCTCTGTGTGGAGTGAGAGGACAAATGCCCAAAAAATAACAATTGTAAACCGCTTTGTGGCTCTGGTCTGTGAAAGGCGGTATATAAATAAAGCTTACTTACTTACATACTTACTTAAGGCCCCGTGTCCTCCGCTGCATGTGCTTCTGCCCTGCTCACAGCAGTGCAGGAAATATCGATGCCTGACACATTCATCAAAACCACAGGCCTCTTTTTTCAGCTATTTGTGCTCATAACTCCACTTATTACTCATAAGTCAAATGACACAATAAGACACTCAAAGAAACAACACTAAATTAAAAGAATTAAAAGTAATTCAACAGTAGGGGTTGAAAGTATATTTCATACTTCAGAGGTCCCTGAAGACAAATGAAGCCCTGCTCTTAGGGAAAACGTAGCATCCTACACATTCTCTTTTGTGTTGATATTATTATCATCATCATTATAATTATAACTATTATTAATATTATTATTATTATTATTATTATCTGCAACACTTTGTTCTGTTACACTGCTTCTAAAACTATGGATAACTTCTTTATTCAATCCAAAACCCACAACGACCCCTGAACATGATGCATAGATGCTTCAGGTTTCTTCTCATCTAGGTTTTCTTTCACTCAGTAATTCAGCAAATTTACAAGTGTTTCATTATGAAACCACAATCAAAATATCTGTTAATCAAAATCATTGATTACAATAATTTTCAGAAATGAACAATGACTTTGTGTAAACATTTAGAATAGTCCACTCATACGCATGACTGAATGTTATTTGAGTTCATTTTGCTGTTTGTACATGAATGATTAGAGCGGCTCATTTGAAACTGACATTTGACACATGATATAGAGCATTATGGGCCTTTTATAGAAGATCATGTTCATTCATTTTTGTATAAAACCACAAAGGTTAATGATATAAAATGAAAAGGAAAGGGAGAGTGCAAGGGTGACAATGTTTTTTCTTCGAAAATTAACAGCAGATAATTGACTGATCTTTCTTTGAAATGATAGTCTTGACTCATGAAATTCATGATGATGATTTGCTGATGATGACAATAAAGCATTGGTTATCAAAACTCAAGTGAACATAAATTAGCCTAGTGTTAGCACCGACTGCTTCAAAGGCGTGTGTTGATAATTTCCTATAATAATTTACTGACGCATGTTAGAATAGATTTATTTCCAGAATAGCTCGTCTGGAGCCTTGTTACTGAGCACGTCCTGCCACGCCACACGCACAGACGCGGCGCACAAGTGATGGAGCAGCTACAGTAAACTTTACAGACCATCCATGTGGTATGGCGTCTTCAGATACTTCAATCTAAATCTCACTCACCTTTTTACTGTTCGTGGATGGTTCTTCGTTGATTTCTTGCTGAATGACGTAGGTTATACGTCTCCCGGGTGGCCTGTGGCTTGGCGCTGATGTGGAGTGCACCTGATGCGGCAGAAGTGGATGTTTATGCGCTGTTTTCCAACAGCTGCCGCGCACTGTACAGCGCCTCCTCTGTCTCGCCATTGGACACTCACCTCCTCCCCCTTCAACCCTGGGCTCAACGCTGCACGACTTTAACACAACTCTTTCACTCAAACATATTCTGCACACCCATTCCAGGCAAGTGAAATTATACAATATATGCGCTTATAATTGATAAACTTATAAACCATACTAAAATGCAGAGCACCACAATCAGGATCACTGGTTCTGTTTAGTAGTATCTGTTTTATTTGTATTGTGAAATTGTGTTTGTACAGATTTGAAATAAATCATTTAATTGAAATAGATAAACTCATTTTCTTATAACATTCTTCCATATTCTGGACAAACCCCAAATGTTGACCCAGATGGGACTTAACGGTGATACATACCATACTCTAATCCATGCATTCTATCTATTCCTGCATTCTATTAAAAGCAAATCTTCCCCATGTCCGTTTAATAAGTATATTTAGATCTTCTACAGCGTGCTACATTATTGACTATTTTGGGATGTGACACAAAGTCCTTCCTAAAAATAAAAGTGACAATTCATTATTCCAGAGCATCTATGGTTGACAACTCTATCCCTCACACACAGCAACAGACCTTGGCATATGAACCTGTGCAGATCTCCAGAGGGTTCTCAAAGTCTGCTCCTGATGCAATAGTTAGCAACATCCCTACTGAGAGTCATAGTGTGTATACCTTCAGGACTAAAGCAGCCTTCAAATACTCTGGAGAATAGGGTCAACTCCCCTTTGCAAATGTGAGACCTTTACTACACGTAATTAACAGTATTTTCCACTGCCTGACTTATTTATAGAACCCATGTCATGCAACATAGAAATACACTGTGTACTATTCCTGTATGCTATATTATTAATTAGCAAGACTTGTGTCAACATAAATCTAGGAAATTGAAGGAAAAATAGTTATGGGCGTTCCTTGAAATAGGGTCAAAAAGATCAAGTTCTTGAAAGATAAAAATATTCAACAATGAAAAATCTTGAATGGGATCTGATGCAGTTGAAGTCTCCATGGGTTAATTTTGGGGCCATCAATGCATTTATAGCAGGGGTGTCAAAGTCAACCACATCAGAGGCCAAAAAAACTAATATGCTACAAGCCGAGGGCTGGACTGGTTCAATGTTGATTAATAATTAAATGAATAATCCAATATATTTGTATAGCTCTGTCAGTAATTTCAAGTGTAAAAAAAAATTCAGCCGCTCAAAGACAAAAACACATAATCAATGATCAATAAATCATCAATAAATCTGATCATAAAATAAAAAGATAAGACAAGATAGACTTTATTGATCTCACACTGCAGGAGAAATATACATGTCACATTTGGCATGGACAGAGTGTGCAACATGTTCAAGGTTAAAAATATAGTCTGTGCAGGATTATGTAAGTGGCAATTAAAGAAACAGTGGCAATAGTAGTGCAAGTTTTTAGTCCTAGTGCAAGTGACTTAAAGTGACTTATTGTACAGTCTGACAGTGGTGGGGATAAAAGCCCTGCGGTAAGAAATATTTTCTTATGGCTCTCTGTGGCCGGTTCTAATATTAAACAAATATCAACCAGGGGGCCAAGATAGTTCGTTTGCGTGCCGACCTGGCCCCCGGGCCTCAACTTTGACATCCATAAATTAAATCAACAAAGTTTAAGGTGTAATTTAATAAAGTCAATGTGCAGTTACATTAAAAAGATGGCTGACTTTCCACCTGTAGTCCTTGACAATACAATCATGACTTGCTCATTAACGTACAGTTAAAATAAAAAGTGAAAGTTACTAACTTACACATCCAAATACAGTTTAAATAAAAGTGCAATCTGGTGAATAGAGAAGATCAGTTTTCCCATTTCACGACAAATCTTTACAAAAGAGCTGTGCAGATTAAGTAGATTTTTTTCTTTTTCATTTTCCTGAAACTTCTCACTTCTGCTTTTGGCCTGATCAGCCACAAGTCTTTAGAGCCTGTGGTGAGGCAGTCGGATTCCAAAATAGCCTGTATGGTCAGTGTACATGTGTGAGAGCCATTGTTCACATTGTGAACATTTATAGCGATGGCGTCTTATCTGCGTCTTAACAGAAAATATGTATAAGTTACACCTTTTTCTCTCACAGCCCCTTAAGCCTTTACCAGAACAAATCGCCTGTGGCCTGAGCTTCTAACCAAAGAGCGGTGTACGCTGTTTGTATCAGTGGGAAATGTTCATCTCTTTTCAAGTCATTGCGTATTCCAACTCAGTTTGGTAAAACACAAACTCCGCTTTGTTCATAAATGGCATTGATTGATACATACACATCTCTATTATTACCCAGTGCTGTTTAAAGAAGAGATAAGATAACTGTTATTTGTCCCACTGTGGGGAAATGTCGGTGTTGCAGAGCGCATTTTCTCCTCCTTTACAGTGATTAAAGCCATAAATACATGAACACATACAAAAAGGAAAGGAAACAAAAGAAATGAATAAATCAAAACGTGTATAAATCCATACGCCTATACAGTTAAAATATATCTTGAACAAATGTGATTGTTCATAGACTCCTTTGTAAACAGTCTTGTGCAACTCATACTTTCCTTTCACAATTCAATCCCAGGACATATTATACATATTTGGCACTATAGATACATATTATGAATACAATATACATGTTGCCAAGGGTCCATTTAATGTATTTTTTGATTGTTATAAGTTACTATCTATATTAAAGCATTTAATTATCCTACCATTACAACTGAACTGTGTGTTGGCATTGTCTGCTGGAGATAGGTAGAGACCACATTAGATATTTTTGAATATTAAAACTGGCAACGCAAATGTCAGACTCATGTGAAGCTCATTCTGCTTCTGATTGGATGAAGATTCACTTTGGGATGTTTACATCACCAATTTGGCCATCCTTTATTAAAGTGATAGTCTGCAACTCTAAATGAATTACACATTTTAAGAATTGTATTAAATTGACCTCCTGGCTTTAAATGTTGATATAAAATAAGTAATTTTATAAATTCTAATATTACGGGTAAGTCCCGCCTTCCCTTCGCTCAGAATCCACGATGCCGTTCACGTTAACCAATCAAGTGAGGCCAAGGGCTGTCAATCATCGCGCTAATGCGACGAGCATTAGGAGGAGCCTCCGAATCAAGCCTCCATTAGGCTCTGAAACTACATGAGAACGGTACAGAGAATTCTGAACATCCACGCTGAGTTACTCATTTATATACTGAACCTATATCCATAATCAGATTCTCTGCAGATGTGTCCTATGATGTTCAATTCATGATAATAGCTACTTCCGGTGTAGACCAATCAGAAAGGAAGGGGGAGGGAGCTTGCGTCGTTTTTTTTCAAATCAAGTACCTCTCTCTCTCTCTTTCTGACAAACTGCAGACAATCACTTTAAGGGAATGCTTGCCTGGCTTCAGCCATCCGTGAACTCCGGTCAATTATTATTTCCCTTATTTGTTCGAAAGGAATTTTGTACAATGGTGTGGTAAGACCAGGCTAAGGGAATGCCAAACTCTTAATAATAAACTTTGAATGTAGGCAATGGCTCACACAATTTCTTGTGTGACTTTAATGTTTTAATTTGGTGTTTGTTGATGTGATGATTTGGGCCTTATGGGTGATGTGGACTGTGAAGCGCTTTGTGTTGCCCTGTGTATGAAAGGCACTCTACAAATACACTTTGAATGTAGGCAATGGCTAGACAGACCCATGGCCACCCTCCTTGCTTACCCGGGCCAGAGCCGGCTCTACCTGCTGAGGAGGCTCAGATCTTTTGGAGTGCAGGGGCCACTCCTGAGGACCTTCTATTCAGCCACCATACCAACTCCACCTAAATAAAGGTCAATAAAAACGTAATTTAAACTGGACTGACAGGCAAGATCTCTCTAATTGCTCAATTTGTCTTATTGGTGAAAATGCCAAGGGGTGGGACTCTAAATAAAAAAAAAACAAAAAAACTATAGTGCAGGGAAAAATATGCATATGTAAAAACGTATAGTAAAATACTTCTAGTTCATATATTTATACTTACATAATTAACTTGAATGTCTGTGTTAATCGGAATAGCGCTTTATCTTACTGAAGTGCTGTGTCCTCTTTAAGACTTTGGCATATTGAATGATGAATCATAATCCTTTAATCACTTAATCAAGTTATGCATGAATGCTTGAACAAATCTGAGAGAAGAAAGAGATTCTATTATGTGTTAAATTATCAATTACTATCATATAGAGGTTGACACGTTTGAATTTGTTTCGCTGGTCTGTTGTATCCTGCTTCAATAACATGCACTTTCAAATGTAGCCCAAAAGAACTAACGCAATATTAGTTTGAGGCCATACAATATCAACCAGCAATATGGCGCGCCTTTGAATGCATCTCCATATTTAATATTTACTAGTAGATTAAAATTTGTGTTTTGCCACTTGTGAGCCGTAGCATCAGTGTTGTATTCATGCCCACAGCTCGTCACCTCTCAGGGTTGGGGCAGCCTGGTTCATTGTCGCCGCTGACCCAAAAGAAAAGTCTATTGTTGTTGCAAACTTTTAATCTGGGGCTTTAAACGTACACCACATGCCCAGACGGAGCAAAGCGCAGGGACTCTGGCACAGTGCTGGACAGGAAACTTCTCCATCCGCTCTATGTTCCACTGAAAACAATGCTTTCCACCGGAATGGCAGCGAGGCAGTGCGCGTAAAGTCACATCCAATTCTCCGACCGCGCGTCTGGATGAGAATAACATGGCGAGCAACTACAGCCAGCGCTCTCTAACAGTTCTGTGCCTGCTGGGAGTTTTATCCGCCATCATGTCCGTTCTGTCTGTTATTTTAATCTTCCAGCTTCAGTCCCAACAAGCAGCAGTGAAGGAGGAATCTAGCCCGCCCAGGTCGTCCCTTTTCCCCGCGGGCGTGTGGGCCGTGCTGCTGCCGGTGGCCACGGTCCTCAGCGCGCTGTCGCTCACCCTCAACCTGAGCTCCGTGGTGGTGTGTCTGCTTCACGCATACTTTTCAACGGAGGTTTGCAGAGGGGAGAGGGATTCAGAAAGGTATGTGAGGTTTAGAGATATTGCAGTTATGTGGTGATAACAGGCCTATGCAAAACACAACCCCACAACTCTGGAATGTGCTCACTTTGTTTGAACAAGTGAATTCGATTTGGGGTACCGGACTTTCTTGATTCGGATGATGATTTTCCAAGCAAAGAGTCTTGAAAAGCAAAAGTCTGTGAACAAATTCAGACCACAACATGATGTTTTTGTTTTCACCATTTCATTATATTGACCTTTATTTAACCAAAAAAGTGCCTCTGGGTTTTTGGTTTGTAGAATCTCTTTTTCAGGGGAGTTCTTACCCTAGAGACTTTGGGGTTTGTACATGTTATTAGTGGCAGGAAAACCGGAGCACCTGCAGGAAAAAGCATGCGAACTCCACTCAGCAAGGCTGCCTGGGAGTGGATTTTAACCCAAGGCTAACCACTCAACCACTATACCACCTTGACCCAAATAAAGGCCAATAAAAATATACTTTTTGAACTGATGGGCTGAGTGAAGGTGGTCATCTCTTACCCCTGTCTGAAGAATATAGCTCAAAACAAAATGTTATAGAATTTCAGCAGGCAGCTGGTATTGTTTAATGCAGACACAAAAAGTTGTGAAAGTGAAATACCAAAGGCTTATCCTTGTTTTTGTGACTCACACTTGTGCTGGGCTGCCCCCACCCTGTAAAAGTTCTGCATCACTGTTGAATCTAAACACAAAGGGCTTCCTCTTATGCACCCAGCACACGGCCTCTATCTGGCTCACACCCATGTCCGTTAGACCTACGCACACACGGAACAGTTATGTGAGTGGACATGCATGAGGACAAAAACCTACAGTTAAATACGTAACCTGATTTTGGTCAACCACTGTTATTTATGGCACCGTATTTGTTTCCGCAGAGCAGACTGGTTCTTTTTGGACAGCAGAGCAATACGACATGTGGCTGTTGGGCTCTTTTGCATGGGAGTCTCTGTGTACTTAGCAGGTAAATGCATATAACTCACCTCATGCGCTTATTGATGTAATAATGACCTTTATTTAACAAGGATAGTTCATAATTTAAATTTTTGAGAGTCCTGTGGTGTGTTTGCACATGGTTTTTAATATATTGAAACGGTATGTGCAGTTTAAGATTTTATGGTTTTTGGCCTTTTGGAGATTGTGAATAACATAAAAAACACATGTTTCACGCTCATAAACCCGTTTTCTATTTTCAAATGATAACTTCTATGAGATCTCAAATGTGTAGTTCAAGCAAGGCGGCCCAGGAATTTACAGGAGCTGGAGGCTTTGTTCCAAGAAGGGGGTACTTGTTTATTGTTTTTTGCTTTACTGTCAGAAGTTTAAGAACCACATCCACAAAAGACTGCAAGATGTCATAGACGTTAAACTTATGTGAACTTCTAATCAGGGTGATTTGAGTAGTATCAGTATCAACATGAACTGAAAATATAAAAACACATCACGACTAACAATGAGTGACTGAAGGTATTGGAGGTTTCCAAAAAAACTAATAGAATGCAATGATTTATGATGCTGAATAAAAAGTCCAGTGTTGTGTGGACTTTAACCAGCTGAGACAAAAGCTGTAAGGCCACGTTCTTTCTGGTGCTTCAATGAGAACAATGGGCTCTTTGAGCGGTGTCCATGACTTGAATGTTTTTAATGCTGGACGTGCCAGTGTGGTGGTGCTCTGTTTCACTGAGCAACTAGTACCACGGCCGCCACTCGAAGCAAGTCTCTCCATTGTTTCAAGGTCTTGGTGTCATTGGCCTTATGACCCTCTGTTCGGCCATTCTCCTTCAGTGGCAGAAAGGGAGGACCATGACCAGCTCCAAAATCTTCACATTCCTATATTGAGCCTCTCTCCTTCCTTTGGCATTCCTGTGTCTCCTGCCTTTTTTCTGTAAGAAGGAAAACACATGTATTAATGTAAAAAGCTCACTTGAAAAAGAAACCATTTAGATTCATTACAGAAAAACGCACAAAAATATTGTTGACAAAAATCTAACAGATCTTTTTTTTCTCTCTCACAGCCATGTCTGCCTTTATGCTGTTGACATTTGAACTGGAGACAGGCCTCGCAAGTGCCTGCGTGCTGTTGTCTGGAATACCCATTTTACTAATTGTAGTCATCCATTCCCTGATCAAAGTATCCCAGAGCGCCAAGAAATATCACTCCGACCACATTGGCGCTTTATATCAAAATGACCATAGTAACAGCAATGCAGCCCTCTCTCGACCGTGTGAGCTCAAGATTGGCGTGGACAAACCCCGGATGCACCGCACCCAGTCTTACCTGGTGCATAACATGATGTATCCTCCATGTGGAAACCCAAGCCCAGAATACCCTCAGCGCCCTCAATTTTCCACAACTGAGGCGACTCACGACCAGGGCAGTCCTAACGATGGCTACAGCAGTGGAGGAAGCAGTTCGAGAATACACCGGACACTATCCAGTGACACGGCCTTACTGCAGGCTCAAGTCAAGCCGTGGAACGGAGTAAACAATGAGATGAGGAGCGTACTTGCACGGAAGTCTGGGATTTCTGCCAAAGACTCTACTCTTGTGTGACATTAAGATACTCGAACAGCGAATGATCTGTATGTGTGCAATGCCAGGGAAGTTTGTGAAAGCTGTTGAATGAAAACTTGTTGTGGTAATCAAAACATATCCTTTGATTTGTTTATCGTTTTATAGATCAAATATGTGTAACACTGTACAAAGACTGGATTCTAAAATAAACGTTTATCATTTTAAACTTGTGGTATTGATTTTGACTAACCTTGATTATGTGCAGGCGTCATGAGGAAGTGGACCGGACATGAGGTGGAGATGAGACATGGGGACTAGGAAAGGGTCGGACACATTTAAGGTTCATGCAGGTGGTAAAACACAATCAAAAACTGTGACTGTATTATGAACATTGATATAACCAGGACAGTCCCACTGAGACTTCATCTATTTTTAAATGGAGTCCTGCATGTTAGTAAGGTTCGATAAATAGGACAAATTATAAAAGCCGCAAAGAATTCAAAATGAGAATGGACTCAATGAGGGACGTTTTATTTTAGAAACGCTGAAAAAGCTTCCTCTCACCTGCGGCCTTGAGAGTTGTTGATGCGCTCCTTTAGGCTGATGGTCTGACGAAGCAAACCATCAATATTCTTGAAATACAGGCTGCTGTTGGTCATACTCTTAACAGCACTGGACAAAGAAACGTGCGTAAGAGAATCACGTCGCTGTCAAAACAGTTTCTGGAGCTCACCTGCATGCATATTCCACTGTGTAGATGGCACCTTGACTTTGTTCTTCCCAACTCTGCATGTCAGTCTGTATCAAGTAAACCATGTGGATATACAGTTAATCCATTTTAATATCAAAGTGAAATATGATTATATGAACTAAAGGATGTTGTACAGTTACACAATGGACCGACAAAGTGCCCGCCCACCTCACGGTTCTAAAAGTAACATCCTATTTATTTTCATCAGACACACAGTTCAAAGCTGGTTTGGGTCAATCAGCAATGTTATGAATAATGATGACAAGACCAACACAAACAAATCGGAAAAATAGTTTCAGAAACTTTAGAGACAGCAAAGTGCTGAACAGATTAAGCAGAATTTAAATTGAACGACAGCTATTGGTCTATAAAGGCAAACAGATCAACCAGTGTTGACAGGAACATGAAAGAGCATCGCTTGTTCTTATACATAGCTAGTTAGCCTCTGTAATGCCCTAAACTTAAAAAGGTATATAGGAGGATTTTCCCAGATTTTAGGAAAGAACCGCCCTCTCCACTTTTTGAACAAAACTCTCTGGCCTTATTTGATGAGCACGTATCACTAGAATGGGAGTAATAGTCTTTATGATCCACCCGAAAAGTAGAAAATCCTCCTAAAATCTTTAATACATACGATTTATCTTAATATCTATTCATCTTAATATTTTTATGTGTAATTCCATTGGGAAAATGATTTAGACCATTCTTCCTAAAGCAAAATTGCAATGCAAGATGGGCAGGTTTTCGCAGCTCCATTGCACAAAAATAAGAGAGAATTGAATGAAGAATAAACACGTGAAACTTGCCTTGTGTTGCACCAGTTCTGGGAGTGACCTTCGGACGTGCTCCTGCAGTCTGTACAGAGCCACTGAAGGCTCGTTTGCCAAGACGTACATGCTTTCTGTAAATTTGTCAGTAACTGGAATACAACAAGGCAGCAAAATGAACAACATAAGTTTACACAAGACTTGAGATGATGAATAACCTGCTGCAGATGAAAAATAGTCTACATGGCTAATTCTGGTGCATTTACAGAAGTGTTTATCAATGCACAATGTCCTTGTCAAATAAACTAATAAAATAAATGAGATCACACATCATATAGTTACACATGTCCCTTCGGATTTCTATACCGTCGCTTGATCTGATGATTCCAACTTGAATTTCCTAAACTTGTGGGTAACTAGCTAGCAATAACAACATTTCTATTTATTGTTTAAATAATCTCAGTCTTGTGTTTTGTGTGATACTTCCTCGTAAGATGTGGGGAGGCTTTGGTCGTCAGAAAATTGTAACAGAGATGTATTGATGTATTTTGCACCACAAAAGAGCTAACGAGAATTATGCTTGTTCAACAAACGTCAGCGGAGGTTCGTAAAGACCTACAAGAGAGCTTCTCTTACCTCGTCTCACTTTTAGCTGCATCTCTTGGTCATCCATGTTGGGATGTGTTATAGAGTGATGATGGCAACCAAATAAAATATATTTTTTCTCTTGTCTCGAGTTGATGCCACTTCCGTAATTCGCTTGTTGTGTGTAACTGTATAAACCATCCGGACAGAAACTGGGATTACGTTTCTCACTTCCGTTTGAAATGTATGGAGAAAAGTAAATGCTGTACATGTAAATACTTAATTTTTACTAAAAAACACATCTGAATGTACAGTAATTATTGTATTGGTTGCGTTGTTGTCCTGGACCCTTGTGTATAGTTTTGCAGTTGTTTCTGGTCACAGTGCACAGTTTTTTTTCCCCCAAACATGAGAAGGACGTTCCGACTCGGGCAATAATGTCAAAGAACGGAATAATTGTATCTTTAATATTTTGAATGCACTATGGCTATTTATAATTTTAATCCCATGTGTGATTTTAATGTTTTAAGGTTTTTAACTACTTGTGTGATTTTATTTTATACGTTTTAGGGCGACAGTGGCTCAGTTGGTAGAGTAGAAGGTCGTGGTTTCGAGACCACCACAAGACCTACTTCAAGACTCCCACTGATGACTGCTGTTGTTGTGTCCTTGGGCAAGACACTTAACCCCCCTCTTTGCCTGAAGCCCCCGCTGAAAGAACAAGGCTCCTGTGGACTCAACATCTGCAGGGGGATCAGTGAGGGCCTGGTGCTATGTGTACTGGGTGCAGCTTTGGCTGCCACTCCCCCCGACCCAGAAATGGTTTTTAATATATCTTGTGACATGAGAGGCTTGTGTATTGTTTAATAGACAAACATCCTCAGACAAACATGACTGACTGATTTTGTCAGGATTTTTTTCTTTTTATCTATGAGCTAGAAACATGAAATGCCAATTGATAGAAGCTTGAAATACGATTATTGATACAATGATAAAATAACATAATATTATTCTCAATATTTTACTTTTTGGAGCTGTACCTGTGTGTTTACATCTGAATAAATATATTCTTGGCAGAACTTTACTTCTCAGCAAACAGGATGTTTTACACCTCTGGGCTGCTGCGTCCGGTGAGAAAGCATAGACTTCCCTTTTGCCTGACCAGCCACAGTCACACAAAGTTACAGTAACTATGAATTATTTTCAAACACATTTGAACATACATGGAGTGCTTGGCTGGTCAAACAAACTTCACTCACCTGAAGGCTATCACTATTGGTGACTGTTCACATGTTTTAAGATGCCAATCCCAAAATAAGTGAGGAGTTTGTTTTTAGTTGAATTTGCTGCAGCAAGCTACCACTACTCTTCTTGGGCACTCAGGAGATAATTTCAAAAAGGTAAAATAAGGTCACATGGCATGACATAATAACAGAAATGCATATATCTATGAAAATTAGAAATGTTTCCATTCTTTTGATGCACTCTATGAAAACTCATTCATTGTTGTTTTATAGTTCAGAAAGTATTGCAGAAATTCATCATAAAGATCTATAAGTAAAAAACAGATCATAATAAATGCACTTTTTTTAAATTAAAAAACAAAGCAAATGTGTGATGATTCCATTGAGTGTTGAGGTCCTTTAATTACATATCAAAATATACTGTATGTTGTCCTTAGATGATTCCCTTTTTTTTTTTTTACAAAATATTTGAATGTTTGGGATGTTTCTGCTTTCCTTTCAAAATATGATGCTCTAAAACCACATCACCAAATAAGGCCAATAGGATAAAGTTCATACGATGTCATAACAGACCTGTACCACAACATCCTGTGTCCAGTCCCATGCCTATACTTCCTCTCTCATAAAAAGATTGTAAGAAATGAAATAGAGTCATTATGTCTTGTCCCCAAGAATGTCCAAAGTGTAAACAATAACTCTCCCGAAAAAGTCTGTACTATTCTCAAATATTATTTTTACTTTATCCACTGCAGGGGCCTCCTGAATGGGAAAGCTGTGGGCGGAGAGTTAAGAGTAAACACACTGAAAGCATTGAAAATTCCCTCAAATGGAGGCAGGTTGAAGAAAACAGTATAACTATTCAAATTACATTATGGCCTGCCTGTTGATGCAAAATATCAACAAAAAATCAGTATATGTTATATTTTGTAACTCATTTTAAAAGTGAAGTAAGTCTGGCACAAAGAGGCACAAATCTTGGTTGGCCAAAAGCATGCCCTGTTGATTGATTAGTCTACTAAAATGGAAGTCTTGTCTTAAGTTGGCTGGCTTTAATATCAGGTTAACACCACCTGATTTGCTCAAGGACCTTCTCATATTTCTCACAGAAAAAAATTGTAGATTGAGTAAATACAATTGATTTATTTGTTTAATCATCTAAACAACTGATTAATTGATTAATCAAATAAAAACACACACAAAAAAGGATGAAAAAATCCCACAAAAAAGGATATTTGAAGAGAGTTGTCATCTTCTGGGTAAAACTGGGCTATTTCTTTTAATTCGCCAGACATCCGACACCCTGCAAGGAGAACACTTGCTTATAATGAAATAATATTTTGCAGTAAATAAAGTAAATAAAGAAGGCAGTCCTACCCTCTAGTCTGCATGATTTAGCAGCAAACCCTCCTTGAAATTGAAGTTTTATTTCTGAGGGTTTAACAGATTGGGGAAACTCCAGAGACACCCACTGGTATTCTCCCTGTAAGAATAAAGTTCAGAGCAGACGATGAAACGAGACACAGATTTAAAATACACTTTTTTCTTAATCAATAGTTTTACCTGGTCTGAGTTCCAGCACGTCTCCTCACTGTTGTCAAACATGTATTTCTTTCCATACTGCTTCACATCTCTGTTTAGGACTGAACTAACCCTGGGAAAAAAAAACATATTTGATCTGCTTCAACGAGAAATGAACTGAATAAAAAACATTTACAGACAGTTTTCTCATTGATCTTTACCTGCTTTGTGTTTCTTTGCATATTAAAGAAGAAGCCATGCTTCTGCTTGTTGAACAGGTCCGAGTTTGCCGGAAAGCGGGTGAGCATTTTACGACAATGACGGAATAACATTGCGATTCCACTTTTTCGCCAGTAGATGGAGCCAGCATACTGCCATCTCTGAGACGGATGAACTATGTCTCGTTCCTCTAACCCTTGTTTACTATATTTCTGAGCGAATTGTCAATCTTTAGGGACTCTTTGAGGCTGTGTAATTCAAAGAAAGCAATTTGGTTGTATTAAAATAATATTGTGAATTTACCTCTGACCCTTGTGACTCAGTAATGTGGCTTTCTATGTTCTTGTTATGTTCTTTTCTTTTTTATATGGCGCGAAACTGAAATACCGGGTGGGTGGGAAGGTCCTTCCTCAAGTGGAGGAGTTCAAGTATCTCGGGGTCTTGTTCACGAGTGAGGGGAGGATGGAGCGTGAGATTGACAGGCGGATCGGTGCAGCGTGCGCAGTGATGTGGTCGCTGTATCGGACCGTTGTGGTGATGAGGGAGCTGAGCCGAAAGGCAAAGCTCTCAATTTACCGGTCAATCTTCGTTCCCTCCCTCACCTATGGTCGAGCTTTGGGTAATGACCGAAAGAACGAGATTGCGGATACAAGCGGTCGAAATGAGCTTCCTCCGCAGAGTGGCTGGGCGCTCCCTTAGAGATAGGGTGAGGAGCTCGGTCACACGGGAGGAGCTCGGAGTAGAGCCGCTGCTTCTCCACGTCGAGAGGAACCAGTTGAGGTGGCTCGGGCATCTGTTCCGGATGCTTCCTGGACGCCTTCCTGGGGAGGAGGCCCCGGGGAAGACCCAGGACACACTGGAGAGACTATGTCTCTCAGCTGGCCTGGGAACGCCTTGGGGTCCCCCCGGACGAGCTGGAGGAAGTGTGTGTGGATAGGGAAGTCTGGGCGTCTCTGCTTAGACTGCTGCCCCCGCGACCCGGCAACGGATGAAGCGGAAGAAAATGGATGGATGGATGGGCGAAACTGAAATATATTCTAAATATGTAAGCCTGTCTGATTTGTTCAATAAATAAAAATAAAAAAAACATGTCTCCTTCCTTTTCCGTCCTTCTAATTTGATTGACTTTTGTGACGTGAATTATGATTTCAGTGGCAAACATTTTAAAAGATGTCTAATTCCACTTCCGCGATTCATAAAGCACAGAGAAGAACAAGTAAGTAGCTAATGGCTTATTAAACTCTGCATCAGTGTGAGTGAATGTTCAGAATATTTATGTATAATTGTTTTTTGGTAGCACGCATAACACGCAAAAAACGTTAACCAAAATTCACTATCAGATTTATTTTATTTATATATATATTTTTGCCACATTATCTTGGCATAATAACGCATTAGCCAAAGTTAGCTAAGCAAAAGCATTGCTGTCTAACTGCTACATAAAGTTTTAATTCATGCTAATTAGTGTGGCTTTCTCTTCTCTTTGAATTAAAGCACAGTAGACAAGTCCGTGTTACATGAACCATTTAGAGGACATTCAATTCCTCTTTAAATTTTACACACTTTTGTTTAGAATTATTCATCAGGATGCAACCCTCCACATGTTTCAATCATTGCATGTGCCTTAACCCTGCCAATTAACTGTCCCATAAACCTTTATCAATAACAAATCATAACTTGAGATAGAGTGAATTTCCTCTATATTGTGCATTTAGTCCTTCCTGTAATTGCAATATTTTTATATTGAAATTAAATTAGGTTGATGTCTGGATAAAGGTCAAAGTCATAGGAATGAATTAAGATGACAAGGCATGAGGGAAAGATCATCTCCACAGGTATGCCCTCTGGCTCCCACAAGTCTACCACCACCTTATGAAAACACATTTTCTGCTGCATAGATCTACTACAAAAATAAAACTCAGCTGTAAATGCTTTTTTGATTTGCCGTAGATGGGATGAAGCTATGAAAGAACCAATAACATCATGAGCTTTATTACTTTTATTATCAAGCATATTCCTATACCTCTTCTTCATAGCCCTGGAAGTGCAATAACTGAGTGTGTGCACTATATTTGTGTGAGATGGAGAGGCTGTATTTGGCGCATGGCTCATTGCAGATGGAGAACTCCTGCTGAGGTTTTGTCACAGTGCCCCGTACGCTGTGGATAATCAATAGGTCTGAAATACAAAACCTGATGAAACCCAGCCTCCGTGAAAATTGCACTGGGGAGGGAGCACCACTGGCCCAACCTACCACTGTAGCACTGCACCAATCAAGCCACAACCTTAATTTACCCACACACTCACTACATTCAAGTCTGACTGCAATATCTGTCCAAAATAGCACAAATTAGTCTTTAGAGTAAATGAGCTCAAGGTCAGGGCTGATCACTTACAAGGAGCATAACAGGAGAGAAAGCTGCTTCTTCTATTTTCAGTTTTACATGAGGAACGACAAGAAGGTTCATGTCAGAGGATCTAAAGTTGCGCACAGGCACTCAGCATTTTGAATGATTTGCAATTTGCTGGAATGATTGAAGAAGACTTGTGACTAGGGCATTACAATAGTCTAATAATCTACTCATTTAGAGATGATAAATGTGTCGTTTAAAGCCACGTTCCCACTGCCGATGCATGGACGTGCGTTGATAGAGGCATGAACGCACATTCAAGTTTCATTCGCATGAGTATCGTCAATCTGTCAAATATCTACATCTTCTTGTTTTGACCGGCTTGTGTCCCTGTGACCACTTTGCTGCTCTCCGATTGGTTAATGCACGAGCTTGGAGCGAGGATGTTCAGTGAATCTCATCTTCTGCTTTCCCTGCATGCATTGAGCCGCTGTACCCAGTGCGGGACAAACGTGCGTGCCGCAACGTATGCGAATACTCGTACCGACGTATTTCACCTTTGACTTTGCCTTGAAACTCGCCGCAACGCATTATCCGGTGGGACAGCGGCTTAAGATTGAGCCCCGATGACACCAAGGTCTCTTACACAGCACCTTGGTTCCATTGAGTCCATAGTTTTTAAAAGGGTCAATAATATAATGTAAGTATTGTGTAAAAAATATGTGACTGTAACACTCTGCAGCACATATATTAATTGCTGTGCAGCGAAGGACGAAATGTGAAAATCTTTGTGGTATATGTAGTGATTTTAATTACACTTCCTCTCCCTTTAATACACTGTCAAAGCAAATGCATTGGCCAGTAGCCAGTTAGTACCATGTAGCCGTGTAAGACTGTGCGGTGGTAATGAGGTGTCTTTCGGCAATGCACATACAATAAATGTTGTCTATCCGTCAATTTCTAATAGTTTTTCAGGGATTCTGCATAAGGGCAACATAGTCAATAGGTCCGTCTTTTATTTGAGAACATCTGTGTTTTGCGTGGTACTTTTTCGATGACCAAAATTGTTGGGTGAAGATAAATTTAAAAAAAAATAATATGCCTTTTTGCAATGTTTGGTCTCGCTGGCTTAGCTTGTTAGAGGATTATCTCCACCTCAGTCCGTGATATGAGTTAAATCTTTGTGTTGCAGCTGTCTTATAGCAGCGGCCGGTGCTGCTCAGTTTGTTACTTCCTTCTGGGTCGTGTCCCATGTGGGAGGATTAGAGCTTCGCAAACTAACTTTTGGGCTTAACCTCAACTCCAGCTCACTGACGCTGATCACTGGTAACACTAACAACTGGAACTATAAGCCCAATTCTGTCTTTCCATAGAGTTTAGTATTTATACCCTGCCAACAGAGGGGTATCGTAATCAGTTCTGTGTGTGTCTGGCTGACTGTCTGTCTTTTGATAGGATTGCTCAAAAACTACTAAACAGATAGAACTGAAATTTGGATGAGATGGTAGAAAGACCACATTAAAAATCTGCGATAATCCTTGGAGTTAGCGGTATAAATCCTCCAATTATTATTACTGTTATTTTATGAATGTATTACCCATTTAGAAAAGTATTGGCCAATCGCTATCAGTTGCACATGTATTCATATAATTATTTTAAGGAGATGCATCACTGATTATTAAACCATAAACATTTTCTGTACAAGATTAGACAATGCCACATTAAATCTCATTTGTGGGAGTGAGGTCAGCAGCATAATTGTAACGAGTGGTTTTAAAGGCGACCTATTGGAGACAGATTCAAGCGTTCATGAGCTGTGGGCACTGGGATAGATTGTCCTAATGAGCAGAATGATTCATGTGTGTAACTATAACTTAATATTATAGTATGCTTTTCATAGTGACAAACCTCTAGGAAAGCCATGCAAGTAGCTCTCACAGTACTCCTCATTGTTTGTGTTGCTTTTTGTTGTTTATTGATCAAACATTTTGCTGCATCCATCCCGTGTAATATAGGACAGTATTTAAAAGACACAATGAAGCCTTGAGGTTGTAAATCATTTAGTTCAGGAAGAAGAGGCAACATTTGGTGTTCTTTGGGTCCAACTAATTCTAATAAAACAGGAATTGGGCAAAATCGTGAGCCACATCTGTCGACTGCTGCAGTAATTATAACACCCCGTTCTAGTGTCTATGCAGCTTCCTGGCAGCGGCTCTTCCTCATCACTGTGCTCAAATTTTCTGCTCCAGTTTGAAAGAGCTTCTTTAATTAAATCATTAAAAGCACAGCATTGGCACAATATGCTCCACCGCCTTCATTACAAGGCACAATCACTCACAATTGATACACTCTCCATGAGAAATTGGTGAATTCCTTGATTTTCTTTCTATAGGTTTGGCTTTGAGGGGGGACAATTATTTTATCTTATTTTTTGTTGGTCAAGCTGTACATGAATGATTTCTTGACCAACTGTAACTAAAGATTACTATAGGAGACGAGAGGAGGTTATTTTTATCGACCCCTCAATCCCACTTCTGTGTCTCCCTCATGTGGTCCGAAGGGGGCGTGGCAGGGGGGCCGTTGGACAGGAAGTGTTTTTTGTCCTATTAGTTAGACAGGCTTGATATAACTCTTATTTCAAGTGAAAACTATATTCAGTACAGTGTATGCTTTGTATAGTTTGAATTAG